AAAAAATAAGAATTAAGGATTTTGAAAGTTTTTATCATAGAAAAATGATAATGTTTGAGGAGGTATACTTATCCAAATTTGAACATTGCACAAATTTCAAAAGGATGACAAAATAGGTTATCTGCAAATCTATAATATGTATATACTTATTTGTATATTACATAGTATATACAAGTCAAATCATCACATGGTATCACATATATGTAATTTTATGGATCAATCATAAAAAAATTTAAAAATTATTCCTTTTTCACACTGTAACACAGATTGATTCCAGATGGATCAAAGACTTGATTGTGAAATGCAAAATAATAAATATATAATATAACAGAATTTTTCATGAATTTGGATTGGAAATATTGCTCTAACAGTTCTCACACAGCAATAACTGTAAAGAAAAACACTGAATAATGGGACTTTATTAACATTAGGATATACTGTTCATCAAGAGATATGATTAAGAGGGTGAAAAGACAAAGAAAGGAGAGGAATAGTAAATTTGCAACATTCTTTATAACTAAAGTGGGCATGGCCCAACAATGAACAAAAAGTTCCTACAAATCAGTAAGCAAAAGGTATAAAGCCTAGATTATCTACTCAAGTTCTACACTTACATACCTTAGGATCCAGGAGCTATACTCCTGCCTGTATAGACAATAGAAAAATGTATAAATATGTATCCAAAAAGGCATGTAAGAATGCTCTTAGAAGTATTATTTTTAATAAACTAAACTGGAAATGATCCTAATATTCAACAATAAAATGAATAAATAAATGGTATGTTCATCAAAGGAAAAGAAAAAAAAACTATTGTTTTTACATGAGATCTTCAAAAGATTCATGGAAAATATGTATTATAAAAAAAAAACTATGCCTGGATTTCAAATTCTTTTTCATCCAAATAAACTTGTCTTTTAATTCTATTTTTCCACAAACTTTTTGAAATCCTATCATGTATGAGAGCATGGATGAGTCTCACAGATATATTAAGTCAAAGACAACATACACAAAGAAGTCAGGTAACGGAATCATGTACTGTATGATTCCATTTATGCAAAAACGAAAAACTGCCAAATCTAATTGTTAGACAAGAGGTTGGAATATTGGCTATCTTTGGGGTGGATGTACCAGGAAGGATGTGCCAAGGAGGACTCTAGAGGGGTGAATATGTTCTCTACTGAATCTGAGTGATTTCACACAGGTTTGTTAACTTGGGAAAATTTCCTTGAGCTGCCTCAAGATTTTTGCACCTTAATGAGTGTATGCTACATTTCAGTTACAAAATTTTAAGTTACATTCTTAGAGTTCTAAGACTGTATTATTCATTACAATTTTGTCATATAATATACAAATACTGAATAGTATTGAAAATAGAGCATGTCTGATTTGGATAAGAAGGAAAATTGAGTTCTATAGTGAGAAGGAGTGAAAGCTGTTTCAGCTGTGGGAAGAAATTCACAACACTTTGTCAAAAATATTACAGATAGTTTTTAAAATGTGTATAGCCAGCTATTTCTATTTAGTAGTTAAAATGTTATGCTAACACTTTAATTAAAGTCCATTAATTTTAAAAGGATATATAAAATCTCTAATTTAGTTCATATATGTTGATAAAATATAACCCTTTTTGAGTACTTTCTGCTTACCTGTCACTGTTTTAAGTGATTCCCTGTATTAATTCATCCTGTACACAAATTGACAGCATCATATGGCTACTGTTTTTATCACCCCTTAAAGAGGAAGGATCCCAGGCACTTGGGGGCCAAGTAGCACAATCAAAGTTCAATTATAAGTGATACTTCATGAGTCTAACTTAGGCAGGTTAATTGAAATTTCGTATTGTCAAACATTGTACCACACTGATTCCTCCTCCCAAAACTTAGCAAGAATTCCATTCTTATTCTTGCCCAGTGGAGAATGGACTTATTAACAAGGTGCTGATGCAGCAGCTATGTGGCCATTAAGTCATACAGTGAATGAAATTCTTTGAGATGAGGGTAGGGTTTAGAAAAACATGGCTATTTTAGAGAGAATCTGTAACTGTGCACACAAACAGAAAATAATAATAGCATGGAGAAAATGACATTGACAGAAGGAAGTGTCTTGGTAGAATTGTATTTGTTGGAATTCTTTGAGCTGCAAATAATTTAATATCCAGGTCCATGCGCCTTAACTGACTTAATAAATACATCTATTACGTTTTATAGAAAAAAATGGAAGGTAGATGTTCTTACAATTGGTCAATGGCAGGACGACTCAGGCACTGGCTATCTTTCCACTCCTCCAAGATGGTTCCTCTCTCTCTTCATCTTGTCTTTGCACACAGTAACAGCTGTAGGCTCAGATTGCACAAACTCACACATTAGTACCAGAGGAGACATTTCTGTTTGTTTATCTACTTTTATCACAAAAGAAAACCTGGGGCAGGCACCATAGCACACTAGGTTAATCCTCCGCACTGGCATCCTATATGGGAACTGGGTTCTAGTCCTGGTTGCTCCTCTTCCAGTCCAGCTCTCTGCTGTGGCCCAGGAAGGCAGTGGAGGATGGCCCAAGTGCTTGGGCCCTGCACCCACATGGGAGACCAGGAAGAATCACCTGGCTCCTGGCTTTGGATGGGCATAGCTCCCATCATTGCGGCCATTTAGGGAGGGAACCAATGGAAGGAAGACCTTTCTCTCTCTCTCTCTCTCTCTCTCTCTCTCTCTCTCTCTCCCTGTCTGTTAACTCTGCCTCTCGAATAAATAAATAAAATCTTAAAAAAAAAAAAAAAACTTTACTCATCCTCATTACTACCCCCAAGAAAACATCTTCTGTCCCTTCAGTAGCCAAGGTGTATATATACATATACATATATATATATATGGATTAATATATATATATATATATATATATTTATCCATGCTAAATCCATCCCTGCAGCAGGGATAGATTGTGGTGCCTGGCCTTGACTTACCTTCTGAGGATGCTAGTTTGACAACATGTTAGAGTGTGATAACCCCAGTAAACTTGAGGCTATGTGCTTGGAAGGAAGTAAGGGTGGAAGGCCGGTTATTGGTTAGGCAACCAAACAGCATATGCCACAATAAAGTAGTAATGCTAAAGACAACCATGGTTTTACAAGTTAATAGCCTTAACACAAACCAAAGTGCCATTTTTGCATTGATTTTGAGTGAAGACATTTTCCCCGTGTCTACACATAAATTTCTCAACAGGTAAAAATGTGAACAATATCATCTTTGAACATTCAAGATTATTGCATTTGACTTTTACCCTTCAAAATGGTATTTGCAACATGGTGAATGTTTAAATCACTCTTTTATATTGAAGTATAACCACCAATAGAAACAAAGAGTCAAGGACTTTTGTTTCATTTGTTTGTTTTTGTTTCCTAGAGAAAGGTTGGGGATTAATACTTGAAGGCCAAATTTTGTTTTCTTTAATGTAAAGTCTTTATGTGTCATATTCATCTGTTGTGTACAAAGGTTTACAAACAAAACATTGAAGAGTTTGCGATGCACTTAACTTCAACCCCTTAAAAATACCAATTTATTTGATGTTTCAAGTAATGTATTACTTTTAATGAGCTTTTGATATGCAGTATGCTTTTCAACATCACATTAAAATGGCAGTACAGAAAAAATATTCATCTACAATAACAGTTGATATAATTCTTCTGCCATGAATTTGGGGTCTTTTACCAGTTTCTAGAAGGAGAGAAAGCCAGTTTTCTGAACCTTGTGCATTAGAATTATGAATATTTGAAAAGTGCAAACTTGATTTTTTGTGCTTACAGCATCACAAAATTGCAAATTGCACAATTTCACTTTCTATGAAAGCTGTTTTGTACCAAACCCTTCACCTTCTGCATGCTTCTGGAAGCAATGCTTCCCTTTTCTTTGTGAGAGAAAGCAAGGGTTCATGTTCACCTGAGGCTCAAATCTGAGATTTTTAGGTGTGATTTTAAAAAAGTGTGGTGGGCAGTGGAAAGAGGGTGATTTGAAAGTTACCATAATTATTTTAAGTGGTCCTATGCTGGATGCACCAGCATTTAGAAGTACAGAAAATTGAGATTATGGCCCAGTAAAGAGAAGCAAAGCCAAATGAGTTCAATAAATGTTTTTTAAATGAAAAACGTGTGTGTAGAAACAGCACTACACTGAGTAGAATAAGCCTTAATGAATGTACAATTTGTGATTTTTCCTTCTCCAGATAACATAGGCATGAAGGAACTGAATTCATAAGTTGAAGGTATCAAGTCTATTAACTCCATAAATGTATACATTATTAAAAAAAAAGTGCTGCCTACTTATGGGTGAAAAGGGGAACACAACTGCTAGGCCACACTGGGTCGCAGATTGCCTGTCAGTTAGTCTAAGGAACTCCCTCCCATCTGGTCCTCATCAAGGCTTAAGGGAGCCAAACAGAACAGCTTCTCCTTTCTAGATATCTAGGTCCTGGAAACAGATGCGCACCCCTGGAGAAAACAAAAAAAGTCTTTCTCTCCGCACCCTGCCCCCACTTCTGAGTTTCCAAGACTGCAGGTGTTAAGCCCACCCACACCCACCGGGGGCTCTCCAGAACAGTCCTTTTCCGTCAGGACTGTTAAAGGCATCTTAGCACCGCGCCAGGAGGGAACGAGGAGTAGGAGTTCTGAGAGGAACGGCTGGAGCAGGGGGCCCTCCTTGAGCGAGAGCGCGCACACACACACTCAAGCGCGCACACACACACACACACACACACACACCAACAGGGTCCACACCTTCTCCGCCCCCTTTTTTGAGGCCCAAAACACGCCCACAAAGGCCCAGCGCCCAGGCTTCGCTGCGCCGGGGCCGAGGCAGGGCGGGCAGCTGGTCGCGGCGCCCGCGGGCTCCTGGCCAGGGCTGGGTGGAGGTGGAGGTGGGGGTGGGCGAGGAGGGGCGCTCACGTCACGTGCGCGCGCAGGGACCGCAATAAATGCCCGCGAGCGCGAGGGAGCCTCGGAAGCGCTGGGCGCCTGCTTCTGCACTCCGCCGCGGCCCCCCGGAGCAGCAACGCGAGGTCGCCGCCGAGCCCCGCTGCAGTCCCCGCCCCTCGCCCCAGCGGACGATGCTCAGAGACGCTCGGGCGCCCACCAGTCAGCTCGCTCTCCGCCCCAGCTGCAGCCGCTAACTTCGGGACGCTCTGCCTGCTCCTTCTTCCCGGGCTGCCGAGGAGCGGCAGACGCAGAGACGCGCGTCCCGCAGTCTGCGCCCGCGAAGCCCCCAGACGCTTCTCGCCTGCTCCTTCGCGAACCCAGCTGTGTGTGCAGTTGTGGGTGGAGGCTGGGGCGGCTACGGAGGCTCTCTGCTCTCTAGGGCGCTTCACACTGGAGAGGTAAGGGCTTTTCTCAGACGGCGTGCAGTGCTCAAGCTGCCACCTTTTCCCGTCTCCACTTTAAATTAAAAAAAAAAAAAAAAAGAAAGAAAAAGGCGAGGGAGAAGGGGAACCAACTTAGAATGGTCAGCGCGGAAGGTGGGTGGGCTCCTTGTAAGGCAGCGGCGGTGTTGGTGAGCGGCAGCTTGCTCTTGGAAGTGACTTTGTGAGTGTCGCCTCCTCGCTGTGCCGCGCGCTTCGCGTGGGGGACGAGAGACGGATGCGCTCTCGGCCGCCGTGCAGGGCGAGGAAAAGCTGGAAGCCGCCCGGGCGCTGCTGGCGCGTTTGGATGCAGGCCACAGGGTCAGCACAAACTTTGCAGGAAATGTTCGCGTTCGTGCCCTGCGCCTGGAGACTTCCTCGTGACCTCAGTTAATTCTTTGCAATATTTCCTTGGGCCTTCTAGATGTGCCCGTGGTTACATGGGTGGGTGGCAGCTTTAAAACACCTTTAGTTTTAGAATGTTGTGGGCATTATGAATGTGAGCCAGAGAGAGTGCCTGAAATATAGAATGACACCTTAAAATTCTCTGTAGAGAAAAAGGGCCCTCTAGATAGAAATAAAGCAGTCCAGGTAGGTAATACCTTTTGCAAACTGCACATAATTTAGAGTCTTGTTATTCAGAAATTATTTTCAAGCTTTGACCTTTCTGGGATAATTTTGCCGTTTATTTTCATCCTTGGGGATATTAGATTGGAAAGTATAGGCGTGTGTGTGTGTGTGTGTGTGTGTGTGTGTGTAAATAGTGTTCTGTGTAAAGACATCTGGAACAAAAAATGAGTTGGAAAAAAGTTACTTCCAAAAGTGGGTGTCCATTCGCTGGCATGATATAGACAGACTGACATGCCCCCTTCATAACTGCTGTTTTGCTTTTGTTATTAGAAAATATCTGCCGATATTTTCATCTTGATCACATGACATGTCGTTATAGCCAAAAGAAGTGGAAGAGCGTTTTCTTGGAGATCTTGCCCGGGAAATCCTGAGGTCATTCATTATGAAGTGTACCGCGCGGGAGTGGCTCCGAGTAACCACAGTGCTGTTCATGGCTAGAGCAGTTCCAGCCATGGTGGTTCCGAATGCCACTTTATTTGAGAAACTGTTGGAAAAGTACACGGATGAGGACGGTGAGTGGTGGACGGCCAAGCAAAGAGGGAAAAGGGCCATCACAGACGATGACATGCAGAGTATCTTGGACCTTCATAATAAATTACGAAGTCAGGTGTATCCAACAGCTTCTAATATGGAGTATATGGTAAGGAAGTTTATCAAGTGCTATGTACAAAAGAATTGTTTGTTGATATTTTCAGCCACCATGGTTAAATCCCTTCCTTCCTGTTGTTCTTTCATGTATAACCCTTTCTCCTTCATGAAATTTAAAGAAAAGATTTCCTTTGAGAGTATCTTCCTGTGCTTATTCTTTTGTTACTTGGTATTCCTTTTGTTTCTAAGAAAAGAAAAAAAAAAAAAGCTGAATTTCAGAGTAGAATTCCAGATCTGTAGATGTGGTATGCCTACTAAGTGCTCTGAGTTGTACTCTTACTGGGAAGAGGACTGCAAATGCCCAGCTGCTCTTGCATTTGCTTTTAAATGACTTAGAACAATTGCTTTCTCATTCCCCAAAGAATCTTCTGGTGCCTACTGGATCTGGAAGACTCAGAAATAATTTGAAGAAGCTTTATACAGATAGGTTCTAATGGCGCCTTGTTTCTTACAGATGTGTAAGTGCCACTGTAAAGCATCATGACACCACCAGCCGTGGGACTCTGGGCACTTTAGTAATTTCTCTCCTGTAAAGGATATAGTTCTGTGGTTGCTTTACGTTAAGGTGTGCTTTAGCAATGGCTTTCTTTTTTATCTGGATTCAGTATTTGTAAACTCTGAAGTATGAAAAGAAGCCTTGCAAAGGATTAACTGAAAATGTACAGTGTATTCTCAATCACCTTAAATTTACTCTTAGAGTAAATAAGTATGTTTGGTAAACAAAATTACTTCTCTAAGACTATTAGCATATGACTCATTAGCATACTACTTCCTACTCTGTATGACTGAAATCTGTTCTATTACTTCCTTGAATGCAGAATGCATTAGTAAAGCCTGAAATTAAACAGTAGTTGGTGATAGCAAAGCTTACTTAATGAGCATTGCAAATGACGTGTATCCTTCCGGTACGTTGCCAGGTAGTTAAAATTTTATTTTATTTTTTAAAATTCATTGAGAGGCAGAAAGAAAAAGAGAGCAAGAGCAAGTGAGTGCGCTATCTACTGGTTCACTCCCCAAATGCCCACAAGCTGGCCTAGCAGAAGCCAGGAGCTGGGAACTCAACCCAGGTCTCCCATTTGAGTAGCAGGGCCCTACCAATTTGAGCCATCTTCTGTTGCCTCCCAGGGTGTGTATTGGCAGGAAGGTTGAATTGGGAGCCAGGGCTAAGAATGGACCCCAGGTACTTCTGCATCGACGCAGGCATCTTAACCACTAGACTAAAAACCTACACCTAATTTTAATGCATTCTAGTTTTTCCTTTTTTCTGCATTTACATATTTTTGATGGGTAATTTCCATGAAATGGGAAATTTGTAAGTTTCCATGACCCATTACAACATAGGGACTTATGTTATTTTGACTTTTAGTTGAAAACAAAATTTATCCTCAAGAAAGTAGGTAGTGCTCGAGAGAACTCAGAGATTAAGAACTGGGGCTCTGGGAATCAGGCTCTCTGGGTTTAAGCTCTGGCACTGACGGCTGTGTGAGACTGGGCACTCAGCTTACTTCAGTTTCCTTGTGTCTACACATGCACTTGCCTCAAAAGGTTAAGATTCAGTGAGATAACCTGGGTAAATCTTAACTCATTATCAGGCATACTTGCAAGATCTTAGTAATATCACTAAAACATATGCAGGGTACTTTAAAAATTTTGTGGAAAATGCATTGAAAATACAACTTTATTTTGGTGCAAAATTCATGAAATCTATTCATCTGAGGGGTCTTCAAAACATTCATGAAAAGTGTAAATTAAGAAAAAAGTATACATGGATTTCAATTTTTTGTACCAAAATAAAGTTACCTTTCAATTCCATTTTTTAATTAATATTTGAAGTGCTCTTGTATAAAACGAATTCTGTGTTTTCACATACTGTTTAATTCTACCTAAGGAAATGCTCTTCTCAAAATTCAGTACAGGATAAGATATCTGTAAAAAGTGTTCTATTTTTGATTTTTGACTGTTTGCTCCAAGTGAAAAATCCTATGGCTCCTTCATCTATGAAGATTCAGACAGAAAGAGCAAGTTGTGGAAGCTTTCCAAGTAGGCCACAGTATGCTTATTCCATGTGGATAGGTATTCAGTTGCTCTCTATTTAAAACAAAGAAGAACTTGGAGTTCAAGCCCACAGAAAGAAATCTGAGAATATCTGTATGCATTTTAAGTAATATGGAAATCATGAAAGAACAGTTTTGTGATTTGTTTTCATGACTGACTTCCAGAAAAAATAACTGTCCATTGTATGATGTCTAGTCTGGGCTGTTTATAAGAGTTTCTTTTTAGTTTCATTGGTTTCATTTTATCCTTCAAATGCAGATTCAGAAACTAGCCAGGGTTTATGTTGTGTTGCCCTTAGATACTGTTAGCACTGGAACTGCGTCTTGGCCATTAACCAGACTGCAGAGAAGTTCACTGACTGTAATAGTGGAATTCATTTTCTAGAATACACATTTATGGGGAGGTCTAAAAGATAATACTATTTTATTTGAAATACTGTTGATTTATGTCTTTGATCAACACCAGTACTTATATTGTTCTAAATCTTGTAAAAGTACAATTTACTCTGTTTCTTAAAATGTGCTCTAAGCAAGCAAAATCAGAACTGGCAAAGAACTGTTTCCTGTAAAATCTGCAATGTCCTATGAAAAATGCTCCCACTTTTGGCCACTTATATCCTGTAAGATATTCCATGTGAGATGTTTGAATGGCCAGTTACATTGTGTACACTTGGTACTTATTTTTTCTTAAAACTTATTTATTTGAAAGTCAGAGTTACACACAGAGAGAAGGAGAGGCAGAGGGAGAGGTCTTCCATCCGCTGGTTCTCTCCCCAATTGGCTGCAATGGTCGGAGCTGCGCTGATCAGGAGTGAGGAACTTCTTCTGGGTCTTCCCATGCTGGTGCAGGGGCCCAAGGACTTGGGCCATCTTCTACTGCTTTCCCAGGCCATAGCAGAGAGCTGGATCAAAAGTGGAGCAGTCAGGTCTCAAACTGGCACCCATATGAGATGTTGGCACTGGCTTTAGCTGGTATACCACAGTGATGGCCCCATACTTGGTACTTATTTTAATCTGTCCTTTGTCTCTGAACCCATGGCAGCCAAGATAGATTTATACTTACTCATATTGCATTCCTACCTCCTTCTTAGCATCATTTAACTTGTAGGTCTAAAACCAGAAAGGCATATCTCTCTTTGAAGAGCTTATAGGTTCGTTGAGAAGGAAGAATAGACGAATTTGAAAATTTTCTAGTAAGCAATTATTCATGTCTATGTATAGTGTTAGGGGAGCACAGAATGGTGGGCTGTTCCCGATTGTGAGAGCAGATCAGTGCACCCCATGGGAGACCAGGATAAGCACCTGGCTCCTGCCTTTGGATAGGCGCAGTGCGCCGGCCGCAGGGCACCGGCTGCGGCGGCCACTGGAGGGTGAACCAACGGCAAAGGAAGACCTTTCTCTCTGTCTCTCTCTCTCTCTCACTGGCCTCTCTGCCTGTCAAAAAAAAAAAAAAAAAAAAAAAAGAAAAAGAAAGTGATTGGGACCGTGAATTGTAGGAAAGAGTCCAGAGTACATTAAAGGAAGAGGAGTAGACAAGCAACATGTGGCAGGCATTGGCAAGATGGTTGTAGAAAACTAGAAGCAGGTTAGGTGGATGAAAGTACAGGCCACTGACAGAATCCAAAAGAGGAGAAATGAGTTACTGATGATAGGAATCAGTAATCCCAAACAGGGAGATGGCTTACATTCATTTTAGGGTAAATTGATGAACTTTAGGAGGTGGGTCATCAAATGAAGCTGTTGCAGAAGGGGCAGTGGATTTTAGAGAGGAGGGAAAAAGAATAGCACAAAGCTGTGTTTGTACCTAGAGAGCATCACGTGTTGCCTCTGCTGCTTGCTGGTAATGTGAACTCTGACAGCAACTCTTCTAGGCATGTTTCTCATTGGTGAAATGGGTGGAAGGATACAATCTGCAGGGTCTGTAGTAAGACTTGATGCTGCTGAACAGAGTCACTTGCTTCAAGCCTTTCCTTTCATGAGCCTCAAGACCACATCCCTTGGTTCTCTTCATTTCCCATGTCCTTGTTTCCTGCTCGTCAACTTTCTACTTTTATCATTCTCCCTTCCTGCAGGGCCTTTTCTACAGCTCTGACTTTAAATACTATTGTGTATTCGTGTCATGTATTCATATTTTACATCTCTATCCCACAACCCTTTCAGCTTCACTTTCATATTGCCTACTGGCCATTGGATCATCTCCATGTAATATTACTTTGGTTACCTCAAGCTGAATATATCCAAAAAGAAAACTAACTGCCTTATCCATTTCCTCTACCCTCACCTGGCAATCTTCTTTCCTTCCTGTATTTGTTCTCAGTGAATATAATGAACATCTGTTCAGTACTCACTAAGAAACAAAAAAGAAAATCGGATGCATCCTCAACTCCTGCTACCCATTCCCACCCATACAAACAAACATACAGTTACTTCCCAAATCCTAGAGAGTCTGTCTCAGAGACATCTCTGAATCCACCCTGTCTTTTCCTGATCTTTGGTTATCATCTCACACCCACATTGGTACCACACCTTCCTATGCAGCAGCCTGTGCCAGTCTGTTCCGTTAGTTCCTAACTAGTCTACCCTGCTCACTGTTACTAAAGCTGGCTTCTCCCTCATATTAATCTGAGTTGCTCATGCAGCTGCACTGAAGTTCTGTTGCATCTTGGCTGCTCACAAGTTTAAGCCACCTCGGATCACTCATAAAAGAAAACACCTGTAGTCCAATCTGTACCATAGCCTTCAATTTCCTTGGGTATATTTGAACTTGGGTTCACAGTGACCTGCTCCCTGTTCTGATTGGTAGATGTGCTCGTCAGGCTTCTGAATCCCCAATATACTCAGTGTCTCCTGTGTTTGCAGTACCTCTGTATCTTGTCTCTTTGTGGCAAACTCATCCTCAAGGCTAAGCTCATACATTGCCTTCCTGTAACGATTTCTC